TTTTTTTCAGCGTCCCACTGCTGGGCACGGACCTCCTTTTACTACGAGGGCGATCAGGCCATAGTCCACCACGCTGGCCAATTCTGGGATGGCGGACTTTATACGTCTTTCGAAAACTTCAAGGTTTTCTCAGACATACAGGTTTCTTCACGTTTTCCTGATATTGTCCTTCACCGTAAGATAAGTAATTCAACATTTTCAACATGATTATGTTGAAAAACTTTCGCACATGAAAATATCAGAGGTGCGAGACCCGGAATTTGAACCCGCTTCACTCGGTTTCCCAAAGTACACTATATATTATAAATACCTATATTAGAGTTGTTATTTTAGGGTGCATGTTTGAGGTTATGACAAATTGATAGATAGCCAACTTTATTCATAATATCTGGCAAAAACCTCCGGACGTGTTTCTAGTACGATTTAGTACTATTATTTATTATTATTATTATGGACCGAATTGAAATAAAAAGAAGGACTCAATCTATACAGATAAATAAAATTGAAGTGTCTGTTTGTAATGTCAAAATAACTGCGTTTTACTAAATGCATATGAAATTATATACGATAGGTAAAAACACATATTTTTTTAATTTTTTTCTCTCTGTCTGTTCCGGATAATCTCTGAAACGGCTGGACTGATTTTGACGGGACTTTCACTGGAAGATAGCTGATGTTAGAGAGAGTGACATAGGCTACTTTTATTTCAAAAAAGAAACAGGGTTCCGCTCAAAAAAATTAAAACGTACTTAGGGACAAACCCGAGCGAAGCGAAATTCATATTTTTAGAATTTTTGTCTGTCTGTCTTGAAACGCATTACGAGTAAACCACTGGACAGAGTTTGATGAAATTTGGTATGATGATAACTGCTTATCCGGACCAACATATAAGATGCTTTTTACTACGGGAAAATATCTCATTTCGGAGAAATCTATACTAAACGTTAAAATGTAAAATTGACGATTCAAAAGTTCTTGTAAAAGTCTATTTTATTAAAGTAGGTATATTTTGATTTGATTTGAAAACGTAACTTTTTTAATAAATAGGCTACAACCTCAATAATTCAATAGGTCACATACTAATTTCAACAAAATTTCATTTCTAGGGGAATAATTACTTTATAAGCGACTTTTAATTCGCTATACCTTTTTGTTTACCACTATTTATTATACACACATATCCGAGAAAATTAATTAGACGCACCGTCGCGTCGTTACCTGCCTGTCTAAAGAAACAAAGTCTTATAAATAAAAAAAACCGTACTCATGTAGGTTTTATTCTTAGAATTGTCTTAGAACAAGTGTTACTCAAAATAAAAAATAATAAAAAAGAAGCCAAGCTGGAGTGGAATTTGCGCTAGAAGTTAAGGCTTCCATCTTATTGCATGCTTAATTATTTAATGACTTGGGCGACTTCCAAATCAAATCAAATCAAAATATAATTCATTCAAATAGACTTTTACAAGCACCTTTGAATCGTCGATTTTAAATTTAAATTAAACTAAATATCAGTATTGTCAGTCCGTGAGGAAGCTACCACCGGCTCGGAAGGCAGTTCTGCTGAGAAGGACCGGCGAGAAACTCAACAGTTGCTCTTTAAAATAATAATTGTGTACAATATTGTAATACAATAATTATCTAATTATCCTACGTGAGACCCAACCAGACATTAGTTCCACACATTGATATCTACGAAGTTTTCCGTGATTGTATAATTCTTTATTCAATAATATTTTATATCTTATACTTAAATTGTTTAAATGGCAAGCTCAAACTTTTTTATCATCTAGATATAAATTAAAAACAGAAAACAGTAAAATACATAAATTCTCAAAATATTTAATATAGGCTATAATATACATATATTATGTGTATTTGTACGCGAGACAGACATGTGTAGAGTTCGAAAATGAATAGATATTTCGCACCAAATCACAGCGGCGCCGTGGCTTAGTTGGTTAAAGCGCCTGTCTAGTAAACAGGAGATCGTGAGTTCGAATCTCGCCGGGGCCTTGGTTGTTTTTTTGAAATAACAGCTTACTTTTAGGATTGCCTTTTCAGTTATCAGGTAAAAGTTGTTTATCAATTTCAGTCCAGTCATTTATATATACTTGTATTTTTGTTTTGGCATTTTATACGTTGCATCGAGCTCCATTTAATCTGGTGTCTATGTCACAGGTTATCAAACGTCAAAGGTTTTTTAATCGGTTATTTCTAATTTGATAGTTAAAAAATATTAACAAAAAAAACACATTTGTATATAAGGTATATATCTTGCTATATATAGCCCGTTGGTATTTTATTACGTCTTCACGCTATGATAGATTTAAGAGAAGAATCTACCTATCATGCGAGAAAAACTTCATAAACGACCTATTATAACTTCTTAATGTTATTTTTTTTTTGAAAAAATTGTATAAGGCTTTAATAAGCTTCAAACGAACTCGTCGAGCTTTTTATAAAACAAAGCTTCTATTTTAAGTTCGTTTTTTCTATACGAGTACTTATCTAACCGTAGTAATAGTTAACTCTGGCAGATTGACTGATTTATGGGCATTTTAACTGAAATGGCTGAAATAATTACTTGTAGGTACATAAATCAGTTGCTTTTTATAATGTGCCTAAATTTATCAAATACTTTTAGATTTTCTGTAATAAATTAATTATCGATCGATCGAGCGTTTTGATTCATTATTACTCGAAGGAAATTACATTATGACTATAAATCATGCTACTTTTCTACGCTTTCTACACCAAGTTTATATAAAAAAATCTTGTAGGTATTTCGGAAACGGCTTTAAAGAATTGCACCAAATTGTGTATTTTATATTATTTTGTATTTTATATTATATATGTATTTTGATAAGATTTTGCTTTTTCTTAGGTTATCTAATTATTATGTGTCTTTTCCAGATAAAAACACAATTTTCTATATATTTTCCGAAAACCGCGGAATGGAGCTCAATCCCCCAAGTAAGTACAAAGTAGTAAACTAAATAAAGAAAATTCTAATGGTAGAATTTTCAAAACTATCCCGTAATGTTGATTTCGATCTGATAAGTCTTACGTCTCTTTCCCACATATCGCCAACTTCTAATAGCTGTCCCTGTCAAAGATTGAGAAATATTTTGAAAATTATCATTAAGCATGGTTCAGATATACATACTATATAGTGCAAGAACGCTCTACACGGTTAAGCCGTCACAGCGTACGAAAATAAATGTTGAAAAACAGCGACAAATCCATATCATAACAAGTTGAGGTTATTTTTAATTTACACACTTGCAGCCGTTCTTTTGGCAAACGTCTAAATTGTTTAATTATAAACATATTATTCACAAATTAGTATTTTGATGTATGAATGGAAAATAATATTATTAGTTTTAACTCAATTTGTACTTTTATGAATTAGAAAAAAATGTACTTTTTTGAAGTTAGGTAGGTATACTTCTTTTCGCACATATGAAAAAATAAGAAAGTAAAATTTTTACGATGCGCGCGCTCACCGACAGCCAAAAAGCGACATGATGAAGTTAGCTGAAAGCGACATGATGAAGTTAGCTACATTCCTTTTACAAACAAAGAGTTGTGATATGCGGGATGAAATCTGTAGCTATTTTTGTTCTGCTACGCCAAAGAAGTATAACTTCTTACGTGTGTACATATAATAAGTAACTGCAACCGTGTGTAGTCAATTTTTTTTTGGTTTATTGTGCGTTATACTGAAGATTTGCTATATCGTTTGTTATAGATAAACTCTGAAGATACTTATGAAGATATTTATGTAGTTCCCGATATCTCATACTCTTGGTAGACTAATTTAATCAAGGATTTCTTAAAGCGGGATAACTACTGTACCAAGAGGCTCGCCACTAAACTGTATGAATTTTAATAATATTTACGTATGAATAACATTATACAACTTTATTGACAGTCTATACAAGTGAAATAGCAATACTATTATGCAAACTAAATAAAAACAACAAAAAGAGTCACATTGCGGCAGATTCTTATAAGACCCACTGGACCTCTAAAGGGAAAGGGTTCACAATACTTCTGAGATATTGTATAGGAGTACGTGGGATATAAGCTTGAACAACTACGATTATATTTATATTATTGTATTATACGCTCTTGTATAAAAACATGACATAAAAATCATATTAAAGACTGTAAAAAATACAATTTTTCTTTGCCTTACGAAGTAATTCAATGGAACTATGTATCAAATAAGCTGATTGAAGATCTATGCTCATCGCCTAAGTAGCAAAATAAAAAAACTCAAAACTCATAACTATATTCAGAATTCTGATAGACATTAGTTAGAACTTTTGAAGTTAATTTTTATCTTTCAATTAAAAGTCAGTATTATGAATCTGAGAAAGCTACCACCAGCTTATGAAGTAGTTCTGCTGAGTAAAGTCGGCAAAAAATTAACATGAAAAACATAACATGTAACAAAATGCAAGTCTCGCAACGCAGTTCTTCAACCGCAAAAAGATCTGAGATCTTATGTAAACCAAGTATAATTTATTTAGTAGACGAACAATAATATGAACTGCAAAAGTAACTTTGTTGTATTAGGCCTTTTTAGTCACTGAAAATTCAGGTTTTTAGCTTTATCCACAACGAAGTTACAGAGGGGTCGAAAATGTCCTAAATGCCTTCGAGAAAATGATGTTACGGCTGTGCCCTTTTTTGCTCGACTTGGCAGAAGAGCGGCCATGCTCCCTTCCTATCTTAAGTAATGATATTTGGTTACAATATTAAAATACAATAATTACTATACATTTACGCTACGTGAATATTATTTAGAACGAATCGCACATATTTTACAATGTATTCTGTGCCAGCATACCTAGTGGTGACATGGATCATATTAGCTATAATTAGATTAGACTGATGATGAGATTTCTAATAATTAACCAAATAATAATTGGCATCAACTAACAAATTCTTCGTCGGTAAATCTTTCTGTTATTTAAAAGTGAAATGTTTACCTGACGGTCGTTGTCCTAGCGATCTCATGACCACCCCGAGCTCAGCCATTGTGATGGTACCATCCTCGTCTTTATCGAACAACATGAAGGCTTCTTTAAATTCTAAAAGAAACAAAATATATACATTATAATATTGCGCTGTTATTATTATTATTTCCCAATTTTTAGTTTTATACATATAGCTAGTAGGTATATGATAACAACTAATGAATCTATTTTTTCTTTAGATAAGTACAGAAAATTAGTACAGTGATAAGATTATTTTATAAGATATTTCGCACTTAATATAAATAACCAATGTTCATAATAATCGTTTCACGATTATTATTTTTCAAACTCTTTAATGAGCCACCACAGACGTCTACGGACGATAAATTACCATGAATTGTTTTTTTTTAAATTAATAATATATAATTGTTATGGTAAAGATAAGAAAATAAGATTTTTATTTGTTTCTACCATTGAAATATAAAAATATAAATACACAATTCCTAACAACTATCTCTTCAAAAAGTGGCGCCGACATGTGACAGGTCAAACCAAAGAATAAAATTCAAAAATCGAAAGATCTTATTGTCTAAACGCAAATTCAAACTTACGCACACCACATAAAATTCATTTTATACGAAACAACGTACGTTTCAAATTTATCATCTGAAAAGCAATGAACATAGAGACCATTGAAAAAAGCGCAATTCAATTTTCAATTGTGCATTTCTTTATGAGGACGTTTTTGAAACGCTAATAGTGCAACTTTAGGTTTTGTATATCAATGGTTTCTATGAAATGCATTGCAGATTGAGAGTGTGGCAAAATTCATAATTGAAATTGATAGATTTACAGTTAATCGTTAAATTTACATACCTGCGACTTGTTCTTCCGTAAGGCCATATTCTGACTGAAAACAAAAATCTGATTAAGTCGATATAATTGAAAAACTCTTACACTCTAATGGCTATCATAAAGCTAACCAGACGTATCTATGGCAATTCGGTAAGACGTGATTTTGAATCCTCTTGAATATAAATGAAAAAATAAAAAGTTTCAAATAGCTTGGCTTAGTGAAAGCCTTACCGATCGAAATCGTTTACTTAAACTTCAGGGGTGTTTGCTTGCACATTTAAGTAGGAGAGATATGGAAAAAGAAGAAAATGCCACCAATTTCAACCCATCTCCGTTAAAGAAATTTTTTTATTTCATTTAAGCTGTATGTACATTTTGGGCTTTTCAACCAAATAATATCTCATGGGAACCACTTATATAAAACTAAAAATTCTGTATAAAAAATCAACTTCATTCCTTGCTGCTACGTTGAAATTAAAAATAATAATATAAGCAAAGAATTTATTATCAAAATCATAATGTACTGGTTATGTAAAAGAATGACCTATTGTGCTGAGAATCGCGGGTTCAATCAGATAGAAGTTCAAAATGCTTGATAATGTATAATAGTAGTAAAATATAATAGAACTAACAGAGAACTGTCGTGTAGTCAAATCATTGGTAAATCTCCTTAATCTTCGATATTCCTTGTTATATATATCATCAGTTGCAGTCCCCATATCTTCTTTGAACAGAAAGACAGCGGGATATTTTTGTTCAAAAATATCCACTTGAAAATAAAAATGAGAACAATATCGTTCAACGATGCGTGGTTCCTCCAATTTTGTGCTCGAGAGACACTTTTGCAGTTGACAGTTTTTCAAACTAAAAAAAGAATTGCAACTGGATTTTTATGGCTCTTCCCATATTGAAACAAATTGTTTTGCCAATATTTGTTCGGATATTGATTTATTTTGATTTCAATATTGTATGTTAGAATATGGGTGAAGTTAAATATTTTTTATACGAGATTATGACTAGAAGTAACCCACATAATATTAACACTTCTGTAGAATAGTGCTTATAGTAAGTAAGAAAAATTAAATTGAACATATTTTTACTGACGAAAATTTTTCAAACATGAACCCCCTAAATATATAAAAAAGGATACTAGAAATGGCATTCCATTGGAATATTACTTTGGATTTTTTTTTAAATTTGAGATACGAATTATTTTAGTTAAGTTAGAAATAGCACTAGTAGACCTGCGACTTTATCAACGTATGTATTGCTGTTTAGTCCGAAGTAGAATCAAGAGGCAAAATTCGAAAAATCATTTGAAAAAGTAATAGACATTTTCTTAGATTTACGCGAATATTTGACATTTCAAATAAAATTATCTTTTCGAATTCGGATGCGGATTTATTTTGATTTTTGGTTCTCGACGTCATCAACCTTAGTCTCTGACGTGACCATGATTGCTATAAAGTATTCGAAACATAAGGAACCAAAAAGATAAAATAAATCCGCAAAAAAATCAGGAAACATTTTTACAAAAGTAATTTTACCACCCTTTTTAGACAAATTTATTATTGAAATTTATGTGGGATTATCCCTGACCGCCTTTTTTTATTCATTAATTAAACAAATAAAGAAAGAAGACTGGCTTACAATTTTTGAACATCGCGTAACATCACAAAAAAAAATCACATTTTTAAAGTCGTTCTAAATTAAAGGTAACTTTACGACCGATTGGTCTTTGTTTGATTTTAATTTAATCGATTACCTGTACAATAAAAACGCCCACTTACAATTTTCGGGTGAACTAAGATCAAAAAGGTACATATATATTCTTAAATCTATTTACTTGACTTCTTTCACATTCCAAAAGACCTCCAACCACAATATTTTTAAAATATTCACCGAGAAAAATACGATTAAAACTATATGGCATATCTCATTAACACAATAATCACACGCGTTTTTGTTATATTTGTCTATTGGTAAAATCAGACTTCATTTAAAACGATTAATTTGATATTTTTTTTATTAATTGTAATTGTTGACAGTTTTCCTGAACTAACGCAATAAAGGCGTGACACGCGCGACGACAATGACAGCTGGTATAAGTAGATGCTATATTTAAATTGGATTTTTGCGCTATAGCTGGCTCTCTACAGTAGTGCCAAAATAAAATTCCGTGAATATTTCTAGGGTAAATTATAATAAGCTAGTGAGTTCCCCTAGCTTTGCTCGGGCACATCCATAGGTGCTTAACAGGAGCTTATCTACTCCAGGTCTGTAATTTCATCCAAATCTGTACAGCCGTTAAAGAGTAACAAGCACACCCACACTCCTACACACACATCCTAACTTTTGCATTTACATAAGTACATATAATAGTAGCCCAACAAAGTACTTACTCGTACACCAAGTCTCAATTAAAAAACTTCACAGAATAGACGTTTTAAGAGTTCGATGGGAATATATTGGAATTTCAGATAAGTTTTGTTAAAAGTCTGTTTTACCATCTTAGATTCAGAACAATTATGACATAATATAAGGAATAAATTGAAAAAATACTGATTTGAGTATAAATATCTGTTACTAGAGATTAAGAAGAAAACTTTGAAAGCATCTATCACATATTTTGTAACAGAAACCAAATTAATAAGTATTGACCAAATTTTGTTTGTGTGTATTTTATATGATATCTCCGTAAATGATCCATTCTTTTTTCATGATTCTTATTTTAATGAACTATGAAATTTCAAGAAAAAAAACCTATCCTTATCAGCCCAGTCATTTAGTAGTTTTAGCTGGAAAGTTATCCGGGAGTTTTGAAAATTGGTGATTTTATAGATTTCGATGTGCTCTTTCCGAATTTCAATCTTGGCGTCTTATGACCGTTTTTTGACAATATCTCCGTTCCGACTAATTTTCCGGTAAAATTAATATACAAAATTAAACTAGAAAAAAGTTCCTACAATTTATTTCATTTTTTTCCGTAAAATCGATAGTTTTGGCGTATGAGCGACGCAAAGTGTACTTTTACATGCGTAAATAACTAAATGGCTAAAAAACTCATTTCCACACACAATTTTCAAAACTCCCGAAAAACTTTCCAGGTACAAAAACTCTTTTTTAACACCAAATGACTGTACTATATGGGTGAAGACTTTTTAGTTAAGAATTTATGAGTTTTTTTAGTTGTTTTTTTTTTTACTTTTTTACAGTGGTATTATACTGGTAATTATCAGAATTTAAATCGGAAACCAAAGATCTAAACAAAGTAGGAGTATTTGTTGAGTAAATAAAATACACGTGGCATATAGTAACTGATTTAGTATTAAAAAAATAACAAAATCTGAAGTCAATATAGAACAAGCAAATATTTCCGGGATCTTGGCACAGCGAAAATCATTTGGAACGTCTCGTTTTTGGCGGCAAAATTATGGATACTTTAATGTCTTAGATGTTAATAGTATATTTGTATTACAAATAACCGGTATGTTCAATTAGATATTAAAAATTATAGTTTAAAAGTAGAGAGAGAAAATATTAAATTATTAAGTTTTTTTTTTCAATAATAGACTAAAATTAATAAACGTAATGCCCGATACATTATCTGAAAATCAATCTAAGGAGTTAAAATTTGTTTTTATATCACTAGTAATTAAAAAAAAATTACAACCACCTTCTTTATCACAATAGATTGATGTTATCAAATTATTATCATTAATATCTAGATTTATCGACATAATATTATATCTATATGTAGATAGCAAAATTCCAACTGAATCGAATCTGTACATTAAATATTTATTGGAAAATCTTATTAAAATAGTCATTATCGATACCGAGGCCAAATCTATAGTTTTTAAAATTTTGTCTGGGGCGCATCACGACAAAACCAGTGGACAGATTTTGGCGAAATTTGGTATGATAAAACCGAGTAATCCGGAAAATTAAAAATAAATCCGGGTCAACATATAGGATACTTTTTACTGCGGGAAAATATCTCGTCTCTGAGAAATCTACACTAACCGTTAAAAAGTTTCTAGGGACTAACCCGAGCAGAGCGTGTGTGAGTCGCTAGTTTAAGATAATTATTGTCAGTGGAGTTTTGAAAAAATATTTCCAGAAATGATAAAGATATAAATAGATAGATAAAAATAGAGATAAATTAAGTACCTACTTATCTCTTCTTTTTGAAGTCGACCAAAAACAAAAAACAATAAACATTCGCGCGGCTTCCACCTTTGTAGTGCTATTACCATTGAATATTGAAGTCATCTTCACTAATAAATTGTATAAAATTTTGTATTTGTGTCTAAGCTGAAATTTGGGTATTAAATACTTATTATATATTTGGATATTAAAGGCAATTCAATTATATGTATATATAAAACAAAGTTGGGTTTGTTACAACACCTATAACTCGAGAACTGCTGGACCGATTTTGATGATCTTTGATTTGTTGGTTTTGTCTCCGCCTCGAATAGCGGAATAACTATTAAAACATCGGAAAGATTCACGAAAAAAAAAATGTAATTTAAAGGCTAATGCCGGATAATAACTATTTATATCACTTATGAGAACATGAGCGAAGCAAGGGTGAGTCGCTAGTTTATTATATATTTTATTTTATTTTTAACTGTATATATAATTCGTATTTTTAATATTACACAACTTGATAAATGGTACACTTTTTCTAGGTCTTTTTTGTTTTCTAAATAAAAAAAAGAGACTAAAATAGAGTCCACGATGTAAGGTACGTAGGTAGTGCGAGCCAGATACAGCACACTGTGCATATAATGTATTCAATTTTAATTTCGTTCTCAAAAAAATATAACAAGTAGGATATATTCAATTATTTTTAATAAAAAAGAAAATCCAGAAACATTTGAAAAATATTTATAAACTAGCGATTGTCCCTCACTTCGCTCGAGTTCATCCCTGGGTGTTTTTTTTTAAATTGACATAACTTATTTATTTATGAACCGATTGAAATAAAACAAATACTAAAATGTTAAATGAAGCTTATCACAATACATCAGTGAAAAGAGCACCCAA